TTGGCCAGGCATGAAAAGACAATGCCTGCTGTAACAGGACACCCTTGGATAGATCAGCAGTAGCAGGAAGGAGAGACCTCTGTACTTAAAAGCATTAATTTCACTCTATTTGGCTTTGATTAGCCATCCCACCTCTGTCTGCTCAAAGTCAGTAGCTGACTCACAAACTTCTCTACACCATTCAACCACTAGAAGGGAACAGAGCCAGGCTGGGCGTGTGTGGGTTAGACTATGTGTGCGTGTGGTGTGTTGCTTAGATACGAGCCACTCTGGCTGGGTTGCCTCTGTAGATTATGAAGGACTGATGCATTAAGGTGGAATGACCCGGAGTACCTGCGAGTGATTCTCAATGGGTGGTTTGTAGTTGCTGTACGGTCTGTAGTCTGACATGTACAAGCTCTTGTACATGTCCAAAGAGACAGGTGGCTGAATAGAGAGAAGAAAACACCATCGGTTACTCAGCCCAAGCATACAGCATTGTATCACCCACTCCCCCGGCTGAATTACATGGGGGAGGGTGAAGAGCTTTGGGAAGGATCAGCTGCCATTGCACAAAAGCTGCTAAACGCTTTGTCAAACCCAGTTTCAGGCAGCCACCTGAGACAGCACCTATTCTAGCATCCTGTGTGGTCAGCTGGTGATGCTGGCAGTCTCTTGGACTGATCCCAGCCTCTGTGCCAGCCTTGTGGAGCACCGCCCATCAGGCCATTGGCAATGAACTATGGAACCTCCTCCCATCTAATGTTGGGGGTTTCTTTGAAACAACTTCCCTGTTGCCACGTCAAACCTCTTCCGAGTAGGGACAAAGAAATCACCCCAGTGCAGAGGACCAGTACCAGGCGCATGCACTGCTTAGGTCCCACGTAAGCCTTCAGAATACAATGCCAGTGCTGTACCAGTCTTGGCTGTCTGAATTTCACCCTGTGGGAAGGTCCTCAGCCAATATAAACCAAGGCAGCTCTATTGATTTCAGAGGCGCTATGCCAATCCACACCAGCTGAGGATCTGGGATGAGCTTAAAACATCCTTCATATGGGGTTTGACCAGTGTAGAGCGACCAATGAAGATGGACCTGAAACCAGAATGGCTGGAATAATTTATATGTTTGTATTGTTTGGTACCCAGTTGGAAAAGTGGCTGTCCCTAGATACCAAAGCTGGTGGGAGTGATACATCCAGCTGCAGACGACAACAGCTGTTGGCCCCAGACCAGCCCTTGACAGGATGCCAGATTTTGTAGGGACATTTTACAGGATTACATGGGGTTGCCTGCAATCTGGGGACTGGACTTGATGACCCAGGAGTTACCTTGCAAGCCTACATCTTATTGGTTAATGACAGTTTTTCATTAGTAAAATAAAAAGGTGACCTTTCATTTAAAATTACCATTGACAAGCCATCAGGATCTCAGATCAGATAAAGCAAAGAGCACATGACAGTCTGTCAGTGCACACCTTGGGCCAGCACCTGCAGCCATTACTCACACAAACTTCCTGCAGGAGATTCAGGCAAGAATATATTTTATAGGCCTACTTTTGCTTTTCCCAAGATTTCAGCTATTTTCCTGGTGGCCATACAGATGGCTGGCTTCGAAATGAAAGAAAACTAGGAATTCTGCTGCCCTTGGATGCAAGTTTTTTCTCAGGAGCTCATGGTCCACTTTCAGTGTCATGCACTGGAAAAATGCCCATGAGAAAGAGATCCCAGTATATGCTTCACCTTGGAAATGGATATTTTCTGCATCACATACACTATGGTGCGCAAAGAGCCTGGAACAAAGGAAGAGAGAGATGAGTTAGTAAAACAACAAACCAACCCACCATAGGCCCTTACTTCCTCCACTCCTGGTTACTGTACTCTGGGTCAAGGGCTCCCATGGCTTTCAGTGGAGCTGTTATTCTTGTGGGCAAGTGGGGCAGTATTGTGGCCCAATCCTAGGTATTGATTAGCATGGAATCTATTGGGCCCTTTGCCCATTAGTTCCATTAGGTGGGAGGAGACTTCCTAGTCCTTTGAGGGCGCCTGTACCTGTTCAGCTGGTACCAGGCACAACAGCCCACAGCTCTGTGGTGACACAGATAGGCCATTGTGTACCAAAGGGTGCCACTAGCCACAGTGGGTGGGACTGGGGCATGTGGGTGCAGGCAGGTGTGATGTGTGTATTGGCATCTCGCTGTTATCCCCTCACCTCAGGGAAGAGTGGTCAGGAGCCTGGTGTCGGGGAGGCAGGTCTGCAGGAGAGAAGCTGCCGTGTGGCGTTGGCCCCGAGGTGCTGCCTGACTGGGCTGGTCGGTAGGAGTGGTGCTGGTGCGGTTTCCAGAGCAGGCAGGAGAACGTTCCATCCTTTGTGAGGTGCCCGGCTCCAGAACCCGGGGGCAGAGGAGGCTCTATGGAAGCTGCCTCAACTGTCCTATGGATGGGACGGTCCCCATTGATGTTAGCTGTGGGGCCCAGGGCAGTGGGAAGAGGCAGGGCGGGCCCTGGGGTACAAGTTTGCCAAGTCTCAGAGCAGCTAATGAAACCATGTGCCATGCCTGTGTTTCTCCAGCACTAAGGTTTCAAGCAAAAGTCAACGCTAAAGGCAGAAGCTGCATTTTCTGTCTTTATACTCTCTCCTTCCCCTTTTGTGTGTTTGTCTTGCGGCTGTCTAAATCATCCCCCATTGTATTTCACACAGAGCAGGATCTGACTTTCGACAACAACAGCAGCAGCAGCAGCAGCTCCAGGTCATCCCTCAACTTATCTTTTTCTGCCTTCTCTCCAACTGCCCTTCCCCACCCCACAAAAACCCATTATTACTATTTACAAGGACTGGCAAACACGGTGATTTTTCCTCAAAAAACCCTCAAGCTAATGCAAAAGGGATGTTGGAAAATAAAAAAAGTCTTATTTAACACGTTGCCTTTCAAATGCTTTTTACTATTCCCCTCTACCCCCCTTCCCAGGGCCGGATTAAGGCATGGGCTAGCCAGGCAGCTGCCCGGGGCGCCAACCTATGGGGGGCACAGTGCCCCTTACAGCTGCCATCCGGCGCCGTGTGCCTGGCTCCAGATCACGGGCTGCAGCAGCTCCCAGTGGCCACCCTGCAGTGGCCACCAGGGCAGGGGCCGCGTTAACCCCTGCAGCACCGGCCAGCAGCACCCTTCTCCCTGCAGCTGCAGGGCCCTGCATGGCCAGGCTCGGCCCGCCCCGGATGTAGCCAGGCTGGGCCGGTCCGGGCACCTGCATCCTGCCACTGCCAGCTCCGTGTGCCCTCCCCCATGTGCCAGGCAGCGGGAGTGGGGGCCATGCATGCGCCCTCCCCCAACCCGGAGTGCAATTAACCTGTCTGCCTGGGGCACCGGAATGGCTCAGTCCGGCCCTGCGGCCCTTCCGTATCTGCAATACACAGTTAAAAGAATTTTTATTGGGTTTGCCATTGTACTAAGCACACTGAGGTCTCTGTACCTGTTTTAAGCTATTTAATGTTGGGCAGTTTCAGGGCCATGTAAACAATTTAAACTTCTTGGACCCATGCTTCCAAGTGAATACAACAGACAGTGCGGTGATGGACTACGTCCATGGGACCGTACGAAGGAAGGGAAAAAAGCTGTGTGATGAGAAAGATTGCAGAACTAGAGGAGAACGTGACCTCTTTGTAGCATATTCTCCAGAGATGCCTACATGACAGGAAGCAGGAGTAAGATTTTAGACAAGACGGTGGCTCAGTACAACAGTAGAGTCAAGGACAAAGAAGAGAGTGTATCTAAGGCCAGGTCTACACTAAAGAGGAAGGTGAAATCAAGATATAAAACTCCAGCTGCGTTAATTACATAGCTAGAGTAAATGTACATTGATTCTAGTTTTCCTACCGTCTCCATCGTGGGAGGTTGATAGGAGCAAACACTCCTGTTGGCTCCCCTTACTCATTGCAGGAGCAAGAATACCAGCTGCCCATGGGGGCAACTTCTGAGTTCAATTAACAAGTCTTTATTAGACCCGATACATCAAACTCCGAAAGATCGATCACTGCAACATTGATCTTCCCTGGAGTGAAGACATAGCCTAAATATCTCATCACAAGTCATAACACTGCACTGTCAGAGACAGTATAAACCATTTGTTTTAAAAATAACTCCCCCCACCATATAGCTCCAACAGTGGTTCTAGGCAGCACTAGGAAGTCAGTGGGTTTGAGGACAACAGTATTCAGACAGCCCCAGGTTTTGCAGTGGGATTTTCTGCATTGAACTGCTCAGAATTAGTCATCTGTCTGAAGCAGAGATATTAAATTTTGATCAATCAGCTAATTGAGTAATCGATGGAATTTCCATCGACTGCTCGATGAGTTGATAACAGGTCAGGTGGGGTGCTCACTATCCTGGCTGCACCTCTGCCTTTTAAATGTAGCAAGAGCCCTGAGGCTTATGCTTATTGGGTAATCGACTAGTCACTTATATCCCTAGTCTGAAGAACAGTGACACAAGCACATGCTATATGTGGGCTGTGTCTACATTGGCACCCCTTTCCGGAAAAGGGATGCTAACGAGACCAGTTGGAATTGCAAATGCCGCGGGGGATTTAAATATCCCCGCGGCATTTGCATGAACATGGCTGCCGCTTTTTTCCAGCTTGGGGTTTTGCCGGAGAAAAGCGCCAGTCTAGACGGGATCTTGCGGAAAATAAACCCTTTTCCGGAAGATCCCTTATTCCTACTTTCAAGGAAAGGGGTTTATTTTCCGCAAGATCCCGTCTAGACTGGCGCTTTTCTCCGGCAAAGCCCTGAGCCGGAAAAAAGCGGCAGCCATGTTCATGCAAATGCCGCGGGGGATATTTAAATCCCCCGCAGCATTTGCAATTCTGACTGGTCTCATTAGCATCCCTTTTCCGGAAAGGGGTGCCAATGTAGACACAGCCCAGATGTATGGAAAAGACAGGAGGTGGATGCTCATTAGAGAGAGTTTCATGTACTATGTTAGGTGGCTAGTTTTTATAACTTCTTAGGAGGTCTGGTTTGATGTCCAGAAGTTGAGGCTTTTGTGCAGAAACTTCATCTTGTTAGTGAAATACCCAAGATCTGAAAGCCCTGCCATTTCCACAGAGAAGGCAACCAAGAATAGGGCTGTATGAGCTTCTTAGAACATAAGCATCTGTGGGCATCAACTGTGTTTTTATTCTCTCCAGGTGCACCCCTAGGCAAAGGCTCCATACAAGCTTGTGTTCTCCAGAACTACTGTTTGATGCTTGTGACTGTTACGGAGCCAATACAGAGAGGGGAGAATGAGCTGGAATCCATTCTACTTCATTCCAAATAGAGAGGGTTTAAAAAAAATCAAAAGTTTTGCAAAACTTGTTTGAACTGATATTTTGAAGTTTCAATATTTTTCAAACGGTATTTACAAATTCCCCCCAAATAATCGCAGAATTAGGAAATAAAGCTGTTTCACTGTAATAAGAACTTTCCACAAAAAATAATCAAAAAATCAACATTAAAATAACAAGAAAAAAACCCTCCACCAGCTCTAGAAATCATCAAGACAAATGTTACCCTAGTTCCAATTGCAGGATCTTTAACATGGGTGAACATGAGCTGAAAAGAAGCCAGCTTGATTTTCTGATCCTGGGCTGCATTTGCAGAGCCAACAAGGAGAAAAAAAGACATCTGTTTGTCTCACTCATGTCTGTTTCTGAAAGGTGATCAGTATGGAAACCACTCAGGCCATTTGTAGAAAGGAACTTTTCTGACTATAACCTGATGGCAGGAATGGTCTTTTTGTTCCGTGTTTGTGCAGCATCTTGCATAATAGGGCTCTGTTCCATGACTGGGTTCCTAGGCACCACAGACGTATAAATAGAGAATCTGCAGAAATGCAATTCATACACATTTGACAAAGACATTAACTGTTTGGTACATTACAAAGCCAGTTTCTCCTACCTTTAACATCTGCATTTCCACATCAAAAGCTATGTCTGGGATACATCCAACCCATTTAATTAGCCTCATTAACACGGGTCCTACAATTGACAGGTATTGACGTTGGACTCCCGCAGTGTAGATGCTGCAGCTGCTCAGCTTAATGTAAGCAGAATCCAGCTATGCATTTTACATAGCTGGATGACGTACCTTAAGCCAACCTACCTGATCTAGTGTAGACCAGGCCCTGGTGTTTATTGTCTCTACTCAGTATGAGTTAGATTGGCAGAATCTGTACCTTTTTCAATTCAGGTGTTGGGATGAAATCCACGTTGCTGAATCAGCCTTATGCCTCATTGTCTTTAGAGAGAAACCCGAGTCACAACTTGTCTCTGGAATGATCAGAACAGAACTTCCCCAAGGTTCAAGGTGTTTGAATTTGGTGTTCTAGTTTGCCCTGTTCTACAGACAGACTTGTGAGACCCGGTTCAGATCTGCTTTTCCAGTGTGGGCCCATCTCTCTAATTATAACCTTCATCTTCCAAAGAAGAAAAACAGTACACTTTATCAAACCCTCAGGGTCTTAACAAAGCCTTGGATATTTGATACAAGAAGTAATGGCCCCAGAAGCATGTTTACCTTGGATTGAGTGAGTGAAATCCATTTCAGAAGGGCTTTTTCACCTCAAGCAATTTAGCCTAATGAGGAGAAAAGTGATGTGATTAATGGACCATTTAAACAACAGTTTCATGGACCTTAAATGCTTAAATACACATATACATTTACTTTCTAAGTTCCCAAATGATATGTAAATACACCAAAGCCACCTACGGTTAATACAACATATTCCATACGATCATATTAAAACGCGAACTCCACAGTCTGATAAGTTTCAGAGGGGTATCTGTGTTAGTCTGTAATTGAAAAAATTTTTTAAAAACAATTAGTAGGCCTGCTGCACCTTAGAGACTAACAAAAAATGTAGATGGCATCATGAACTTTCGTGGGTACAACCCATTTCTTCAGATGAGGCTCAACTAGCATAGCAGTAGCATGGAAGGATAACTTAGTGGTTTGAGTATTGGCTTACTGAACCTAGGGTTATGAATTCAATCCTTGAGGGGACCATTTGGGGCAAATCTGTCAAGAATGGTACTTGGTCCTGCTGTGAGGGCAAGAGACTAGACTCAATGACTTCGCAAGGTCCCTTCCAACTCTACAAGATAGGTATATCTTCTTTTCTATACCTAAAGTTCATGCTAGGTTTCCATCTCCCCCTTTCTTTCAAGCACACTGCATCTGGGAACCTCACAAACATGAATGAATTTGTCCTCACAGCCCTCCTGTGTGGAGAGAGGTATTACAATCTCAATTTCTCTCCCTTTTCCAAATTGGGAGTTGCAGGGGATGGACATGCATGCACAATCTGTTCCCATTCCACCCTGGCAGGGCATAGACAGCCGAGACAGTCTTTGCCTTCCCAACTGGGAATCCTTCCAGGCAGCCTAGCACTGGCTCAGGTGTAGCATGGCTGGAGCGGGCCAGTTCTCAGCAGACAGATAGTCACTTGGTGACCATTTGCAGTCTCCGTGTGTGAGATGGGAGCAGAACTACCAAAGAACCAGGGAGTCATACTGGTCTCAGCAGCCCATGTCTCTGCTATGCAGAGCAGAGATTTGGTGCAGAAGAAAGTCTAACCCTACAGTGATTTGTAAAAAGGTCACATCCCAAGTTTTTGGCAGAGCCAGGAATCCAGTGCCTTAAGTGCAATGTCAGCCTTC